AAAAAAAAAAAAAAAAAAGAGATGGGGTCTCATGTTGTCCAGGCTGGTCTCAAACTCCTAGTCTCAAGTGATCTTCCTACCTCGGCCTCCAAAAGTGTTGGGATTTTAGGTGTGAGTCACTGCACCTGGCCTCTTTTAAGACTTTTATCGTTTTAGCTCTTATATTTAGGTCATTGGTCCATTGTGAGTTAAGTTTTGCATGTGATGCGGTATAAGGGCCCAACTTTATTCATTTGCATGTGGAAATCCAGTTGTCCTAGTATCTGTTGAAGAGACTGTTCTTTCTCCATGAATAGACTTGGTACCATTGTCAAAAATTTGTTGACCATAGATGCATGGGTTTATTCCTGGATTCTCATTCTTTTTAAAAAATATGAAATGCTTCATGAATTGTGCATCATCCTTGCACAGGGGCCATGCTAATCTCTCTGTATCATTCTAGTTTTGGTGTATGTGCTGCCAAAGAAAGCACTGGACTCTCAGGTCTATTCTATTGGTCTGCATGTCTGGCATAAGGATGTCACTACCACACTATGCTGAATAGCTTTATAGAAGGTTTTGAAATTGAGAGTACAAGTCAGTCCTCCAACTTTGCTCTTTTTCATCATTGTTTTGGCTCCTCAGAGCCCCTTGCAATTTCACATGAATTTGAGGATTGGCTTTCCATTTCTGCAAAATGCTTGTTGGACATTTGGCAAGAACTGCATCAGATCTGTAGATTGTTTTGGGTATAAGTGACATCTTAACAATATCAAGTCTTCCTATCCATGAAAAAAAGAATGTCTTCTCATTTGTTTAGGCATTCTTTAATTTCTTTCAGCAATGTTTTATAGTTCTTAATGTGTAAGCCTTTCATTTCTTTGGTTAAATTTATTCCTTGGCATTTTATTTGCCTTTATGCTACTGTAAATGAAAGTGATTTTTTAATTTCTTTTTTGGACTGTCATTGCTATTGTATAGAATACAACTGTTTTTGTGTATTGATCTTGCAACTTACATCTTTGCTGAATTTATTAGCTCTAATAGCTTCCTTTTAAATTCCTTAGGATTTTCCATATATGGGTTTATGCCATCTGTGAATAGAGATAGTTTTACTTTGTTCTTTCCAGTTTGGATCTATTCTTGACAGTCCTGCATGATGTAAATCCAAATGTTCCATTTTAATGGTCATTTTCTCTAAGTGATTTTGAAAACTGTTTGTTTCCAATTGATATAGTATATATTGAAAGGAAATATTAACTTAAGCGTTTTTTTTTTTCTTTTTCCCATAGATTTGGCTAGCTGATTGGCTGCTGAAAAATAATCCCAACAAACCCAAACTTTGTCACTCTCTAATTGTAGAAGAACCTTATTAAAAAAAAAAATCCTCAAAAGAACAAATCATGAACTATCTTACTGCAAAAGGCTGTACTTCTACTGTTTGAAAAAAAAATTATTTCTAGGGTTTAAGTAACTATGAGTAAAATAAATTTATTTCTTAAAATAAGTGTTAAAGGAATAACTATTCTATGAAGCAGATAACATTAAGGTAAAATATAGCTTAGAGTATGATTTTAACAATGATGTAACATTAGGTAATGGAAAACTGATGTAAGATGTTGCTAGGTGGTTTTCTTAAGTTTGAGAAGTAGGACATAAAGTTTAGTTATACATTTTTCCAAGCACATATCCTATATCTAGATACATAATTAATGCATAATTGAAATGGTCTAGTTTAAAAGGCATAGGACTTTTTGTAGTTCATAAGCCTGATGATTTGGTTTCATGCTCGTGTGTGAGATGTGCTTCCCTCATACCTTCTTACAGCATCATCACATTACCTGTTTGATGTAAAAAAATAAAAATAGAAGGCCAGGTATGGTGGCTCACACCTGTAATCCCAGCACTTTGGGAGGTTGAGGTGGGCAGATCATGAGATCAGGAGTTCAAGACCAGCCTGGCCAACATGGTGAAACCCTGTATCTACTAAAAATACAAAAATTAGCCTGGTGTGGTGGTGTGTGCCTGTAGTCCCAGCTACTGGGGAGGCAGAGGCAGGAGAATTGCTTGAACCTGGGAGGTGGAGGTTGTGATGAGCTGAGATTGCACCACTGCACTCCAGCCTGGGCAACAGAGTTAGATTCTGTCTCAAGAAAATAATAATAATAATAATTAATAAAAATATAAAGATGTAAGTATATAAATAATTATTTGATACAATGAAAATGGCCAGAACCAGGGGATGATTTTTAAACTAATCACTTAGATAACTATTAGGCTGATGCAAAAGTGATCGAGGTTTTGCCATTAAAAAACAGTCAATGAGCCGGGCGCGGTGGCTCAAGCCTGTAATCCCAGCACTTTGGGAGGCCGAGGCGGGTGGATCACGAGGTCAAGAGATCGAGACCATCCTGGTCAACATGGTGAAACCCCGTCTCT